GTCCAAGGCAAACAAGTCACATCCTGTCCATCGTGAACAGGGGGGGTTTGGGGCACACTCCATTTTGTTTTCTAGTATTTATTCGTTTGCCTCTTTTGCCTTTGTTTCACTGCTGCTTCTCGGCTGCTGCTTATTGTTTGCCTTTTGGTCTCTGTTGGCCTTTGTTTGTTTGCTTTTGGCCAATAAACTGTTTCTCCCCTATGGCTCTGCTGGGCCCCCGCTGGGCCCCCGCTGATCTGCAGCGCGCTTAATGGCGCGTTGAACGTTACATTTGCTCATCGTCTGTACCCCCTGAATCCCTCTCCTCCTCTCCCCTCTGTCTACTATCTGCCACGTTTCAGCTGTTTTTCTTGCTGCTCGACTTTTTGTCGTGTCTCTTGCGTAAACTTTAATTGGCTGTCAGTTCATTGAGGTAAGTTTTAATTAATTTTTTCGACCATGTTTTATGTGTGGCTGTGTAGGTGTGTCTTTGTGAGGCAATGGCATCTTCATCTTAAATGGGCGCCTCTACTGTGTGCACTTCTCGGCGGCTAAGTGGTGCGTTAAGCCGGGCACTCAAATGTTTGGCTAATTGTTCTGCCAACATTTTGTGCGGCCCAGGGGAGGCTTTGCAGGATGTACAACTTAATGGTTGTCAATCTTTCGAAATTTATATTTCTTATGCTTGTACAAAAGTCTTATTTGGCTTTTATGGGCTTTGTTGCAAAAGCGTTCAAAATATTTGTTACTCTCCTAAAGATTTGTTGAAGGCTATAATGGTAATGGAATTTCTATAGATATCCAACGGTCCCCTAATTTAGTAGGTATATTTTGGAAAATAATTATACTTTTACACTTGTTCACGTTTACTTTCTTGTTCCACTTAACGTTTTACCATGCGTTCTACCAATTAAAAGGAGTTTCGTTTCAATTTTCACGTAATATTATATTTCTTTGAGTCGGGAAAACAAATTTACAAATATTTTAAGCCAAAATCACAATTTTGATAAAATTTTGAATTTATAAATATCTATCTATTGTTTGTAGGGTAGCCAATTAGTCCAAACGTGGAATTTTACGAGAACCTGAAATGATGTAAGGGAATTTAATTTCGAATGCAACTACACTTACGACATTATTTTTTATATATTTCCAAGCTCTCAATTTGTATTGTCCCAACCAAGACCAGCCTAATGTTTTGTTATATTTTGCCATCTGTACTTACCTATTTGCCACATCCTTTGGTTCTTACTGTTTTCCATAAATAATTTATTTTCTGGCTCAGTGTTTTTATTGGGCGACGGTATTGCATGAGGTTTTTTTTCGGGAGGCTTTAAAATTTTGTCAACTTTGCGGCCACGTTTGCTCAATATAGTCATATCCAATTCGCTTAGATGCTTCTGATCATATTCGCTTAGCATGCGTGTTGGTATTCTCATGTGCCAGCGCTTTACAAAGCCACTAGTCTGCGGTCTATAGTCGACTAGGCAGCGGTTGTTTTCCATACCGTTAAACCGCCTGAGATATTCGACTTTATAATGATTTTTAGTTGAGCTCAGAGCCTCGTGGGCCATGAGATCTTTCAGTTTCTTTGACAAAGTAGGTTCCTGTATGTCTACTCCGCTTAATATTTTCTCTTGCAGTTTCCGCCTCTGTAGATAGTGCTCCTTGAGTATCTCATTGCATTTGCGGACCTGCTCGGCAGCCAGATGGGTCTCAAGCCGTTTCTCTGAATTGGGTACACTTTTTCGTGATCTTTCCTCATTAATCAGACTTATTGCAGAGTTTTTGCTTATGAATTTGGAGTAATCAGGTTCAGTTATTGGTTTCTTCAACTGCTTAAAAGATGTCACACATCGATGCGGAGCGCAACCTAAATAAGGAGCTGCAATTTAAATTGGAATCCGCTGCCCAAGCTTTTACTTACTTACTTTTTGGTAATCTTTGGGCTAAGCCAAAAAGGCCTATACTGTTAATTTTATTAAGATTTTTGGCGGCCATTCGGAACTTATTAATTTACAGATGGGCACTTTGTAAACGCTTAACAATTTTGCCTAACTCCTAACAGTTGATTCAAAATTGTATCTGGTTGTAGCAGATGTGACAACATGAAAATTTTAGTGTAGCTTAGGTAAAAAATTGTATTTGTATAGCGTTGGCCTACTCAGTTTGTTGGAAGCAATAGAATAAGTTGTCTTCCCAAACATATCGATAAGAATCGAGTTTCAGTATCATATGTTATATGCTTGTCAAATGAGCATTCGTGCGTTTTTAATTGTCTACTTGGAACTTGAAAGTGAATTTCGGCAATGTACTCAAAAAATTACGTGTAACTGGCAAGCATATCCTAACTAATGTCACCTAATGCACAACGATGCGCTTCATTAGCGAAATATCCAGCCTAATGTCCATTAAGCACCTTTCAAATTGAGCCCTAACGAAAGTGCATTAAGTATTTTGTAATATTTAATGTTCATTGAAAAGGTCGGCCCCACCTTAGTTGGCAAAACTTCAGTATGACTTAAATAATCCTTAACCGACCATCATCATCATCATTATTACGATGATGATGATTATCATCATTATCAACATCTTGTTGTAGCAACCATGTCCAGCAATCGCACCCGAAACGTGCTGCAGCTCCTGGTCTTTCTTACCTGGCGTCTCGTTTAGAAAAATTGCTCACGCACGGTTTCGTTTTGGATGGTTGGGATGGTGTTTCAGGGCTGCGCAGAAGGAGGATTTTAAGTGCTGGCAGCTCTGTGGTCTGGCTTGTTCCTGATTTTGTTTACCATTTACCGTTCAACATTTTCTGCTGTGTATCGTTCGTCGCCTAAGCGCATTAAAAGTTTTCTCTTTTTTCCTTTTTTTTTCCTTTCGGCGATTTTCTTTTATTCGTGCACTTTATCGAAAGCACATCACGTAGTGCACCTGATTTGCTGACAATCCTTGGACATTCTAAATAGGCAACCGGCACAGGCTTAAGACTGGACTCACAGCTTTTACCCGGGCTGCATACGAAATTCATGCAACGCTTTGTGGCATCGTTTTAATTAAGATTAATTACCTTCAGTGGTTAATAATTTCACTCGCTTTGATAAATATTTAAACTATCTCTTGATAGTGCCTCACTTAAGGGACCGAAAGTTAATTTACAGCCTAAATGACCCAGAATATTTTGTGAAAAATTCTGCTAATGGGTCTCGTCGTTTAAGGGAGTCTTAGAAAATGTGCGGATGCTCAAATTAGGAATTTCTGAAGCTCCATCTTGCTTTAAGCAGGCATAACTCTAAAGGTACCAAAAGGCAATATATGTCGATATATATCGGTAAATGGAAACATCTAATAGACATTACAATTTATAAAAAATATAAAATTGCCCTGTTTTTCTTCGTTTTTTCCGCTGCCTATATAGCTGGCTTATACAATTCAACTTCTTAGTATAATAATATAAACTTACTTAAATAAATATCGAACTATAGGATATCGATAGAATAATGTGTGATAACACAGTAAAAATGCATGCACAACGAGTCGTACATACAAAAAAAAAAAAAAAACAAAACATATTCAAATAGAAAATGTATAATCAATTAAAAGGATTTAATATATTTAGAAATATGATGGATAGTAGTAGAGCAATAGATTTGAAGTGAACAAGAAATATGATTGAATATTAAAGCATTTGGGACGGATTTCAATGGTACACACACTCTGCTGTACATGAAGCTATCCAACAATACAGATTTCCTTTTCCGAACTTCACCCTAACCAATTGGGGTCTGTGTGTTTGGCCCAGCTTTGTTACATTTCAATGCTCTGGTCACAGTGCGTCATGTGTTTGGGCTTGCAGCTGCTTATAGGGCAGAAAGGTGAGCTATTGCATTGAGTGCGACTCGTTGTTAAAGTTGACTTCAATGCCTTCACATCAGCCAAGTAAATCTGTTGGGCTTGTTGTTGTTTTGTGGCTGGTAATTGCAAGCGAATCTGGGCAGCCCACACGAACGTCAAACAAAGCTGGCCATCATTTTGGCTAATTGGTTTTACATATCTTTGAGCTATGACTATGTACTACGTGTGCGTAGCTCTATATAGTGCAAGTGGCAGCTAAAGCTGCAGGTCCTCTAACATAGACGTTATATATGACTGAGATGAGTTTATAAATATGATTAAAGACGACGATTATCAAATGCGATGGAAAGAATGAAAGAGAATCCTAGAAGTCAAAATGCTTATAAATGTTTATATTTATTCTTTTAATTAAAGACTCCCCGAAGAAGTTATTATAATTTAACCCCAATAATTTGTAATTATTGTTTTATTTTCGGTGGATTTTTCCAGCTTGCAAAAATTAAAGAGATTTTCAAAATGTCCTCTAAACTTATAGATGAGTGCATTTAAGGCAGCTTTTAAATTATGTTGTATTGAAAAAGTGTAATAATTGAAACAGGATTTAAGTTCTGCTTTTTAAATTTCTTAATTTAATTTGTCAAGCGTTTAAAACTGTAAGCCATTGGGAACTGCAAATTTACCCAGGTAGCAACGTTAAAAGGAACTAAATAGGATTAATAAACTGCGAAATTGAAAGAATAGTATACGTTGCAGCGCTGTGCAAACGCCATGCTCCATTAGCGTAGACCAACACACGGAGCTCTGAAACTCAGCAGACCTAGAGCCAATTCCATGCCAAAAAACCCGAGCCAAACTTGCGACTCAGCAAATCAAATTGAAGCGCCGTGCGCGTATCCATGGCCAAAACTTGCCCAGCAGCTAACAGCGTTTGCATAAAATTGACAATGCATTAGGAGAATAGAAGGAGCGCCTCCTTTATATGTAAATATCAAAGTAAATGGCTGGATGGGAGCTGAGCTTGTATGTCAATTAGTTTATATTGCAATATATTTTTAGCATGGATATATTGACTATATCACAAAGTTTAGATTTAAGGATTCTATCAAGCAGGTGTCTATTTGAAATGAAAGAACTATATATTTTATGCATTTCTATTTTATGTTGCTTAATTTCTACTGAAAATTTGGGTTGTATGTCTACATATTTATGTTAGCTTAGTTCTAGTCTCGAGTTGTAGTCTTGGGCGAGTACCTAGATTTGATTCTGAAGATATTCCTAGCAGCAACAGCCATTGTCAATACAGCACACATTGCAGTCGTATGGATACATGCAGGGACTACAGCATGTTGAGCAACATGTGCAGTCACAGGATATATAACAGCACAGAGTACAGCAGGGGCTGCAGCAGGTACTGCAGCACGGACTGCAACATGGGATACAGCAGGGACTACTGCAGGCGCTGCTGCAGGGGCTGCAACACGGACTGCTACAGGGAGTGCAGCAAGAATAGCAAGGAGAGCACATCACGGTTATTGCTAATAGAAATAAGTTAATTAATGTTAAATGGACGTCAAGAACCTATATTCGATTCTTACCCTTGAGGGAAGTTCTTCACAAATATAGGAACTGCATATTTGCACACGAATGTTGTGAGTATTGATTGGGTTGCATGGCGCTCTCGATTGTCAGAGGCCAAAAGTTCACACAGACGATATCACAAATGCTTAACCACACGAAAGACTAGACCCTGCAATAAGACAGAGTTATTATTATATTTTTTTAAATCAAATTGTTTACTCACATGCTTGCAGACAGTCATAAAAACTTACACAAACATGTATAGATGTTAATGGAGCAGAAGCCAAAAGAATTATGAAAAAATGTTGATTTGTAATGCTATATTTGGAAATACTATTTCAAAGCTTGCTTATCGGTTCCTCATTTCGACAGTAATCAATTTACATAATTTGAAAAAGGGAATTATAAAGCAAAGAACACTCCAAATCCGACAGCTTCAAGAATGTATACCTATACTCTTACCTATTTTTATATTTTGCCATGAGGTTTCCTCAAATGAAAAATCTGCAGGTAAACAACAGTTGTATTGAAAGTTTAAACATTAACAAAAGTATATCAGTGTGGAATAGTAGAAACATTGACCTACCAGGAACGCTGTTTGTTTAAAAATATAAAGACCAAAGGCCACATTAGTGTCCACACCGATATATTTATCACATTTGCTGTAATTTTTTGAGATAGTAGTTTATTGACAGCAAAAACAACTAGAAAAGCAAATATTCCACATACCAAAATTATGTCTTTGTCAGCTTATATATAAATAGCTTAGCAAAACGAAACACAATAGTACTTCTCACATGCTCGCCATGGTAAGTCAGAACTCAAAAGTCAATTTCGATATAAAAACCTTTTAGAGAAATTATAGTCTTTCAGATATTTGCTGGTTCTTGTAATTTTCGGCATTTGCATGAATATGGTTAAATGTGCTCCAGATAGATTACGTCAAATTCAGTTAAGGCAAGGCTCTTTAACTACAATGCCAACAACCACAACTACAATTAGTGATCTCTGTATAAAACATCCTAATATACCACCTTGTCGCACTACAACTACTGCGACAACTCCATCGTCAACCACACAGACAACTCCAACTCCAACCACAGTGACAACACCGACTACAACCACATTGACAACTACAGAAACAAGTAACCTTTGTACAACGTTTCCTGATTTACCAATTTGTCGCACCACACCGGCTACAACTACAGTGACAACACCAACGCCAACAACAGTGACAACCCCAACCGCAGTGACAACACCAACGACAACCACCGTGACAACACCAACCCCTGTGACAACACCAACGCCAACCACAGTGACAACACCGACTACAACCACATTGACAACTACAGAAACAAGTAACCTTTGTACAACGTTTCCTGATTTACCAATTTGTCGCACCACACCGGCTACAACCACAGTGACAACACCAACGACAACCACCGTGACAACACCAACCCCTGTGACAACACCAACGCCAACCACAGTGACAACCCCAACCCCAGTGACAACTCCAACTCCAACCACAGTGACAACACCGACTACAACCACATTGACAACTACAGAAACAAGTAACCTTTGCACAACGTTTCCTGATTTACCAATTTGTCGCACCACACCGACTACAACCACAGTGACAACACCAACCCCTGCGACAACACCAACGCCAACAACAGTGACAACGCCAGCCCCTGTGACAACACCAACCCCAACAACAGTGACAACACCAACGACAACCACAGTGACAACACCAACGCCAACAACAGTGACAACGCCAGCCCCTGTGACAACACCAACTCCAACCACAGTGACAACCCCAACCCCAGTGACAACTCCAACTCCAACTACAGTGACAACACCGACTACAACCACATTGACAACTACAGAAACAAGTAACCTTTGTACAACGTTTCCTGATTTACCAAATTGTCGCACCACACCGGCTACAACCACAGTGACAACACCAACGCCAACCCCTGTAACAACACCAACCCCTGTGACAACACCAACGCCAACCTCTGCGACAACACTAACGCCGACAACAGTAACAGCACCAACCCTTGTGACAACACCAACACCAACCACAGTGACAACACCAACCCCACTGACAACACCAACGCCGACAAGAGTAACAACGCCAACCCCTGAGACAACACAAACGCCAACCACAGTGACAACACCAACCCCAGTGACAACACCAACCCCAGTGACAACACCAACGCCAACCACAATCCCAACATGCACAGTAACCACTCCAGCGAGAACCACAACTTCTTTGATTACAAAGACAGTGACAACCACAGCTTCCCCCACTAATTCTGGAGGAGAGCACGAGCACCACAACCATCACCACATTCATAATCACCATATACCTTTATTTCCTCTTCCGCTGCCTTTGCTTCCGCTCCCGGCTCCGGTTCTGGGCGAACCGCCCTTGCCGAATCCGCCGCACCTACCGCCACCACACCTACCGTCTCCCCACCTACCGCCGCAACCAGCTCATCCATTAAAACCGTTGCCTGGACTTCCACCCCGACCACCACTACCTCCGCCTTTTGGCTTCCATTGGAAAGCCCTCAGTCAAACAACATCTAAAATCGCATAAAATTGTATGATTACAAGAATATATAAAAAGCGATCTACATTTAAAAGCATTTAAAAGAAAGATGAATTAAATAAGCCATAAATATGTTTAAACGAAACTTTATTGGATTAATCTTGCTCTAAACTAAAAATATATATGTAAACTAAACCATTTTTAGTAAATAATTTTTCTAGCAACCGATTTGTCATTATGAGCCTTTTTATTAAATGATTGATTAAATGACCGGCACCTAGTTTTCCGAGTGTCCGCAAATTGTTTAATTTTTAAGTAACAAACAATAAAGAAACGCTATGTTCGCAGTGCCGAACATTCAGACATACATATATAAGCTATTCGATTTTTTCAGTTTTACCAGAGCCGTATTGTACTGTATAAAAAGAACTTGCTAGTTTATAAGATGCAACATAAAGATATTGCGAGAAACAATAACGTTTTTTTTTCTTAAAGAACTCAATTTTTGACCGATAATTTCTATGACAGCTATATTATGCAGCGACCTGCGTAATAAAACTCCCTTCTGCATACATATATATGCAGCTTGTTGAGCCTATTAAGCAGCGTCTCTACTTCTTAATAGTTAATTCTTGACTATCTTCTAGATTTCTTATGAAACTATGAAACTTTTAAACACAAGAATGGGTAAAATTCGTTTGGGGTTGTATCCAGCCTCGTACTACATTTTATTTATATTGTCTCAAATCAAATTATTATGTAAGTAGACAGTGATAAAACTCTTTCTGCACTTTAATTTTATAGGGCAGTAATATATATTTCAAATTTTACGACTACGTGTTGGCGCTTCCGTGTCCACACATAGGGCCAATGACTAGATCTACTCGGCTCATCGTTCTGCTCAAGAATATATATACTTTCTATGCCACATTTTGTTTGAATATATTTAAAGACAAGACCATTTTCTAGCTAGAGCAATATATTATTTTATATTGAAATTAATTAAAATAAGACTCGGCAAAAATTTTAAATATAATGTTAGCAATGCAATGTCTTTTAGCAGTGATTGCGTTGCTTCAAAATGCATTTCTTTAACGGCGACCCTGTAGTACCTACCCTCACATTCAGAAAAGAAGCATTCAGATATATGTTTGTAACATTGCAATGGAAACTTTGACCTTTCAAAATAATTTATTTAAGTTGATAAAATTAATAAATTTGTTTCCACTGCTGACATATATATTGCAAAGGTTAGTTTTCTAATCTGATTGTAGTTCATTGACAGCGAGTACCATTGGGAAAGAAAATTTCACTTATCTATGCAATGCTTTACATTTCCCTGTCCCTATATAAAGAGCTTTGTACAAAGAACAATCAATAGTGTTGCTCAGTTGCTCGATATGGGAAGTGACGACGGGGAATAGACTTTTCCTTTAAAAATTCTTAGATTATATAAGACTAGGTTTTTGCTTAACTGTAATTTTTCAAGTCATTTCTGTGTCGATGATAAAATGCGGTCCTGATAAATTACGACAAACACTAACAACGACAACCTAAGATTTAACCATAAATATAATTCAAGATTCAACTCGAAAGACAACAAATTATTCAAAGACAACACCTGTTTCTACCACAAAGACTATTCCACTTTCAACTACAAACACAACTTTACTTTCAAATACAAGGACAACACCAATTCCAACTGCAAAAAAAATTAAAATCTCTACAACGAAGGCTACAAAAACTACATCTGTCTCTACCATAAAAACAACTCCACCTCCAACTAAACAAACGACAAGAATTTCTACAACAAAGACAACCCAATGAGGTTTCCCCAAGTTGAAAAATCCGCAGCTAAAAAAAGTTGGACGTTTAAAATTCTTTTATCGCAAATTCAAACGAAAACTTGTTTTCTTTAATTTTTACACATACATTAATAAAAGTAGTTAAGTGCGGAATAGTAAAATCATTGACCTAACAGGAACGATATTTGCTAGAAATATAAAGACCAAAGACCACATTAATGCCCATGGTCGATATATATGTATATATATTACATTTGCTGTCATTTTTTGAGATAGTAGTTTATTGACAGCAAAAACAACTAGAAAAGCAAATATTCCACATACCAAAATTATGTCTTTGTCAGCATATATATAAATAGCTTAGCAAAACGAAACACAATAGTACTTCTCACATGCTCGCCATGGTAAGTCAGAACGCAAAAGTCAATTTCGATATAAAAACTTCTTAGAGAAATTATCAGTCTTTCAGATATTTGCTGGTTCTTGTAATTTTCGGCATTTGCATGAATATGGTTAAATGTGCTCCAGATAGATTACGTCAAATTCAGTTAAGGCAAGGCTCTTTAACTACAATGCCAGCAACCACAACTACAATTAGTGATCTCTGTATAAAACATCCTAATATACCACCTTGTCGCTCTACAACTACTGCGACAACTCCAACGTCAACCACACAGACAACTCCAACTCCAACCCTAGCGACAACTCCAACGCCAACCACACAGACAAGTCCAACTCTAACCACAGTGACAACACCGACTACAACCACATTGACAACTACAGAAACAAGTAACCTTTGTACAACGTTTCCTGATTTACCAATTTGTCGCACCACACCGGCTACAACCCCAGTGACAACACCAACGACAACCACAGCGACAACACCAACGCCAACAACAGTGACAACGCCAACCCCTGAGAAAACACCAACGCCAACCACAGTGCCAACATCGACTACAACCACAGTGACTACTCCTGTGTCATCTACAAAGACAACTCCAATTTCAACTGCAAAAACAACTAAAATCTCTACAACGAAGGCTACTAAGACATCTTCGGTTTCTACCGCAAAGACAACTCCACTTTCATCTACAACGACTACCAAAATCTCTACAACAAAGACAACCCCTGCTTCAACTACAAAGACAACACCAGTTTCAACCATCAAGACAACTCCTGTCTCATCTACAAAGACAACTAAAATCTCTACAACGAAGGCTACAAAAACTACTCCTGTTTCTACCACAAAAACAACTCCACCTTCAACTACAAAAACGACAAAAGCCGCTACAACAACCCCAGCTTCAACTACAAAGACAACCCCAGTTTCAACTACAAAGACAACTCCTGTCTCATCTACAAAGACAACTAAAATGTCTACGACGAAGGCTACAAAAACTACTACTGTTTCTACCACAAAGACAACTGCACTTTCAACTACAAAGACAACCCCTGTTTCAACTATAAAGACAACTCCTGTCCCATCTACAAAGACAACCAAAATGTCTACAACGAAGGCTACAGAAACTACTCCTGTTTCTACCACAAAAACAACTCTACCTTCAACTACAAAAACGACAAAAGCCGCTACAACAACCCCAGCTTCAACTACAAAGACAACCCCAGTTTCAACTACAAAGACAACTCCTGTCCCATCTACAAAGACAACTAAAATGTCTACAACGAAGGCTACAGAAACTAATCCTGTTTCTACCACAAAAACAACTCCACCTTCAACTACAAAAACGACAAAAACCTCTACAACAATGACAACCCCAGTTTCAACTACAAAGACGACTCCCGTCTCATCTACAGAAACTACTCCTGTTTCTACCACAAAAACAACTCCACCTTCAACTACAAAAACGACAAAAATCTCTACAACAAAGACAACCCCAGCTTCAAATTCAAAGACAACCCCAGTTTCAACTACAAAGACAACTCCTGTCTCATCTACAAAGACAACTAAAATGTCTACAACGAAGGCTACAAAAACTACTCCTGTTTCTACCACAAGGACAACTCCACTTTCAACTACAAAGACAACCCTAGTTTCAACTACAAGGACAACTCCTGTCTCATCTACAAAAACTAATCCTGTTTCTACCACAAAAACAACTCCACCTTCAACTACAAAAACGACAAAAACCTCTACAACAAAGACAACCCCAGTTTCAACTACAAAGACAACTCCCGTCTCATCTACAAAGACAACTAAAATGTCTACAACGAAGGCTACAAAAACTACTCCTGTTTCTACCACAAAGACAACTGCACTTTCAACTACAAAGACAACCCCAGTTTCAACTACAAAGACAACTCCTGTCTCATCTACAAAGACAACTAAAATGTCTACAACGAAGGCTACAAAAACTACTCCTGTTTCTACCACAAGGACAACTCCACTTTCAACTACAAAGACAACCCCAGTTTCAACTACAAGGACAACTCCTGTCTCATCTACAAAAACTAATCCTGTTTCTACCACAAAAACAACTCCACCTTCAACTACAAAAACGACAAAAACCTCTACAACAAAGACAACCCCAGTTTCAACTACAAAGACAACTCCCGTCTCATCTACAAAGACAACTAAAATGTCTACAACGAAGGCTACAAAAACTACTCCTGTTTCTACCACAAAGACAACTGCACTTTCAACTACAAAGACAACCCCAGTTTCAACTACAAAGACTACTCCTGTCTCATCTACAAAGACAACTAAAATGTCTACAACGAAGGCTACAAAAACTACTCCTGTTTCTACCACAAGGACAACTCCACTTTCAACTACAAAGACAACCCCAGTTTCAACTACAAGGACAACTCCTGTCTCATCTACAAAAACTACTCCTGTTTCTACCACAAAAACAACTCCACCTTCAACTACAAAAACGACAAAAACCTCTACAACAAAGACAACCCCAGTTTCAACTACAAAGACAACTCATGTCTCATCTACAAAGACAACTAAAATGTCTACAACGAAGGCTACAAAAACTACTCCTGTTTCTACCACAAAGACAACTGCACTTTCAACTACAAAGACAACCCCAGTTTCAACTACAAAGACAACTCCTGTCTCATCTACAAAAACTACTCCTGTTTCTACCACAAAAACAACTCCACCTTCAACTACAAAAACGACAAAAATCTCTACAACAAAGACAACTTCAGCTGCAACAACGAAGACAACTCCACTTTCAACTTTAAAGACAACTACAAGGACAACTCCTGTCTCATCCACAAAGACAACTAAAATCTCTACAACGAAGACTACTAAGGCAACTTCGGTTTCTACCACAAAGACAACTCCACTTTCAACTACAACGATTACCAAAATCTCTACAACAAAGAAAACCCCAGTTTCAACTACAAAGACAACTCCTGTATCATCTACAAAGATAACTAAAATCTTTACAACGAAGTCTACAAAAACTACTCCTGCTTCGACCACAAAGACAACTCAACTTTTAACTACAGAGACTACCCCAGTTTCAACTACAAAGACAACTCCTGTCTCATCTACAAAAACTACTCCTGTTTCTACCACAAAAACAGCTCCACCTTCAACTACAAAAACGACAAAAACCTCTACAACAAAGACAACCCCAGTTTCAACTACAAAGACAACTCCCGTCTCATCTACAAAGACAACTAAAATGTCTACAACGAAGGCTACAAAAACTACTCCTGTTTCTACCACAAAGACAACTGCACTTTCAACTACAAAGACAACCCCAGTTTCAACTACAAAGACAACTCCTGTCTCATCTACAAAGACAACTAAAATGTCTACAACGAAGGCTACAAAAACTACTCCTGTTTCTACCACAAAGACAACTCCACTTTCAACTACAAAGACAACCCCAGTTTCAACTACAAAGACAACTCCTGTCTCATCTACAAAAACTACTCCTGTTTCTACCACAAAAACAACTCCACCTTCAACTACAAAAACGACAAAAACCTCTACAACAAAGACAACCCCAGTTTCAACTACAAAGACAACTCCCGTCTCATCTACAAAGACAACTAAAATGTCTACAACGAAGGCTACAAAAACTACTCCTGTTTCTACCACAAAGACAACTGCACTTTCAACTACAAAGACAACCCCAGTTTCAACTACAAAGACAACTTCTGTCTCATCTACAAAGACATCTAAAATGTCTACAACGAAGGCTACAAAAACTACTCCTGCTTCTACCACAAGGACAACTCCACTTTCAACTACAAAGACAACCCCAGTTTCAACTACAAAGACAACTCCTGTCTCATCTACAAAAACTACTCCTGTTTCTACCACAAAAACAACTCCACCTTCAACTACAAAAACGACAAAAACCTCTACAACAAAGACAACCCCAGTTTCAACTACAAAGACAACTCCCGTCTCATCTACAAAGACAACTAAAATGTCTACAACGAAGGCTACAAAAACTACTCCTGTTTCTACCACAAAGACAACTGCACTTTCAACTACAAAGACAACCCCAGTTTCAACTACAAAGACAACACCTGTCTCATCTACAAAAACTACTCCTGTTTCTACCACAAAAACAACTCCACCTTCAACTACAAAAACGACAAAAACCTCTACAACAAAGACAACCCCAGTTTCAACTACAAAGACAACTCCCGTCTCATCTACAAAGACAACTAAAATGTCTACAACGAAGGCTACAAAAACTACTCCTGTTTCTACCACAAAAACAACTCCACCTTCAACTACAAAAACGACAAAAATCTCTACAACAAAGACAACTTTAGGTGCAACAACGAAGACAACTCCACTTTCAACTTTAAAGACAACTTTAATTTTAACTACAAGGACAACTCCTGTCTCATCCACAAAGACAACTAAAATCTCTACAACGAAGACTACTAAGGCAACTTCGGTTTCTACCACAAAGACAACTCCACTTTCAACTACAACGATTACCAAAATCTCTACAACAAAGACAACCCCAGTTTCAACTACAAAGACAACTCCTGTATCATCTACAAAGACAACTAAAATCTTTACAACGAAGTCTACAAAAACTACTCCTGCTCCGACCGCAAAGACAACTCAACTTTTAACTACAGAGACTACCAAAATCTCTACAACACAGACAATTCCAGTTTCAACTACGAAGACAACTCCACTCTTAACCACAAGGACAACTCCACTTACTACTACATTCTCTCCGAGTTCTACTTCTCTAGAACCAACTGTATTAACTCCAATGTCTACAACTTCAGTGTTTACAACGCCATCTTCAAACTCAATTTCCACAAATGCCATTTTGTCCACAGTGACACCTATATCTACTACTGATCCAGACAATTATCATGTACACCAGCACCATCATCATCATCATATACCACAGTTTCCACCGTTTATGTTTCCTTTTCCTGCACTTTCTGCCCTTGCGAATTCAGACCGACTGCCTAGTTTACCCCTTCCATCATTTCCACTTCCAGCTGCAATACCACCTCCAAATTTTCCTGTTATTTCGTTCCCGCCTTTATCACAAATTCCGCCACCACCGGGTCTTCAAGTACTGCCTCCGCTTCCACCAGGTCCTCGACCACCTGCTTTACCGCTTTCAAGTCTACCGCCTTTTAATAATTTACTGCCGATTCCTCCTAATATACCAGCTTTATCTTTTCCTATGACTACCGCCCTGCCAACTCCTTCCAGAGCTCCAAGTCTAGCTATTCCAAGCTTTCCAGCCCTTCCAGCTCCAGGTCTTCCTAGTTTACCTAACATTCCAACCCCTCCCAAGTTCCCAGATTTAACCTTTCCTAGTCTTCCTAATCTTCCAGCCCCTCCCAAATTCCCAGTTCCAGACATTCCCAGCCCTCCCAAACTTCCGACCCCTCCTAGATTTCCGGTTCCAGCGCATTTCACACCTCCTGCATTGCCGTTTCCGGGATTACCTCCACCACCGCCCCCATTTTCAAATCCCTTTGGGTCTCTTTGGAAGTCACTTTATAAAAATGGAACTTATGACGGGATAAATAAATAGTAACAAAATATTTGTGAATTAAATTTACATTTTCTTTATTAAAATGCACAGTTAATTTATTGGATGGCTTTTCAAGGGACTTTGTTTTGATCCGAAGATAATGCTAACAGCAAGGCCCACAACCGCCACAGCAAGCTCCACATGGTGCATAGCATGGTGAACAGCCACAAGGACCACAAGGACCGCACGGTCCGCAGCAGGAGCCAAAGCAAGGACCACAGCAGGGCTCACAGCATGGTCTACGGATAGGAATTAGAGTGGAACAACCGTCGCAGCACATCTTGATGGATTACTATTTCCTTTTGTGTCTCATAGCGAATATTGTTAGGCCCGTTGTGTGCAAGATATAAAAGTACCTACCTTTTAAATAAATGCCTCGGGAAATAGTTCTTTACTGCTTGTGAATTCAATATTGACAAGGGAAAGGTTCAAATTATTAGCGTCCACAAAGTCCGTGCAGCCTATTGGTTGTTTACAAAAACAAACTGATTCCTGTTGCAAATAAATGCTTCAGAATATTTATTCCAATCTAATTTTACATTTTCTTCTCTACTTACATGCCTAGAAACAGACACAATAAAATTACAAGTATTGTGCCAGGATGTTTTATGTAAAAACATTCATAGACGTCTGTCTAAGTATTCAGAAGGTCCATTGGACCTTGAACAGTTTTTACATAGGCCTACTATATTTTGTCTTTTTATTTTCAAATATTTGTAATATATATGGATATTTTGATATTTTAGATGTTGACTGCACGGCTACTAAAGTTAGTAACTTTGACTCATATTTCTGAATTCTCCTGTGCTGAGTCTTCATGAAACCATATCCCTGTCCCTCACCTCTTTGTCGAGCTATTATTTATATTATAAACCAATTATGTATATCTATTAAACAGTCTACTTGGGGATAGAACCATATCCGTTAAACTGCCGACTGAACCCTTTAAATAATTCGATTGGGCTTTTAATAGAGAACTATTAGAATGATATTTTATCTATAACATACGCTTACGCTTACCAAGCAAAAAGTAAATTTACCTGCTTTATGACTAGACGATAATTATATATTTTACCCCGAAGCGAATTTAGATGAGAATTACAGTTGCTATCAACAGTTTCCCCACAATTTTATTAAATAGCATTTGTGTATGCAATTGATAATTCTAATTAGCCAGTTTATTTTACAAAATAAGTACACACAAGAAGTTTGTATTTAACATTTATTAACTCTTTCTTATAATCCCATTTAATTAACACCATCATACCATCATCACCATTAAATAACTTGATGCCAACTTAATTATTGAAAACCATGCAAATCTTGTGAAGAAAATATATATAATTAATTAAAATGCACATGAATTTTGACTTACCCAGTATACCAGTACCAGCGATAACTTCCAGTATCACTAATGTGGGTGCATTGTGCTCTGTATCCTATCTCTATCCTATCCTAATTCCAACGTATGGCTAACACCATAAAACGATAGTAGTTAACAGCGAAATCTATTTAAAGAGCAAATAATTAATAAATTAAACAAAAAGTCCATTTTTAACTTACCAATTTATCGACATTTGAGACGTTGTCGAAAACTAAAAATGTATTACTTATTAATACTGTGTGGCACACACAGAAAAAGTTGTGTACGAAATTATTTACAAGGAGTGCAAGCAAAAGCATGACTTGTAGTATTAAGTATTGAGCTGTAAAAAACATTCAGAAATTGGAGAATTTGGTTTTCTAATAATACTTACTTTTAGCCATTTTTTGGAATTAAGATTTACCGACGAATTTCGAATAGACATTTTTAATTTGTATTTCTTGTTTCCAAAATATATGTGGACCTAACAAATGTTTGTTGAAGACTGAGTATATTAATCATTTCACTCCTAGGCTAAGAAAAGATTTGAAGCCTAAAAGTCAAGGCTAACTGCGATCTATCAAAAACAATTTTGCATATTTTAAATTTATACTGTCTGCCCCTAAAGGCAGTTTTAGTTCTAAATTGGGAAGAAGAAGATCAAGCCGAATGTACTTTGAAATACTTTGGTAGCATTTATTGTATGGATATATATATATCCTATGGCAAGATACTGTATGTGGCCAGTTTTAATATAGCTAACATAACAATAAAAGTAGTCGTTTGTTTTTATGAAATTATATATTTAGTGTGCGGTAACATTATCTTGACGCTGTATTCTATGGACATAAATAATTTTGAGAGCTACACATGATAGTAGCCGTAAGCTTTTCTCCCTAGATTTCTTCTGCAACCGAGATCCCATCACCGCCTCATCCAAATTTAGAAGCCAGTTAATTCAGTGTAATTCTGTGTACCAACTGATAGTAAAATTAAATAAATAATAAATGAAATTAACGTACCAAGACAAAAAGTAAAACGCCCAGCGTTTTCAACACAATCGTCCAGTCCAGAAACCGGGTCCGCTTGGACCCCACCAGCTATTAAATGGTCCGTTGAATGACCCAAAGCAGGGATCATAATAACCACCAGGTGCACTACCACCACAAATTCCAATGCAGGCGCCAGGATAGCACGTATATCCAAACATGATGATTTGGTATGAGCTGTATAGGAGGAATATTAATTTCTTATAAAATCTTTGGAGTAAATGCTAATCTTACATTACTCGTGTTACACGAAAATAGGAAAAAAGGCCGAAATTTCAAAAATATTTATTTCGAAATTAGTGTACCGAAAGGTTCCAGTGTCGGTGTTGAACTGACTAAAAATCTATACGAAAATCATGAGGCTGAAGTCGGAACATGAGTTGAAACCCAATGCCTACTAGGCTGAAACACGAGTACATAGCTATGTATATTGTCTGTACTTTCCAAAAAGACTACTTTTAAATCGATTCATATATTCTTCGCATTACGCAAGCAGAATAATCAATTACGTTCCTGGAAAGTGCTTGCCAGATGACGAATACGGCACAAAATTAAGCGATAAGATATTTTTCAATATAATTTTAGTTGGTGAGATTTATTTTATTTATTCAAATTTTACAAAATACAAAGTGTCTTCTACATCTTTTGTAGTACTATTGCATTATTCCTTTATTTCGTTCTGAAGAAGATTTAGTTAACAGCATGGTCCACAGCCGCCACAACAGGGTTGTAGTCCATTTCGCTTTCCACAGCAAGGGTTGCAAGGGCCGCATGGGCCGCGGCCGCAGGGACCACAGGGGCCGCAGGGACCGCAACAGGGGCTACAGCAGGGTGAGCAGCAGGAGCCGCAACACGAATAGCATGGATTACACATCTTGATAGGGTGGCGAGTTTTCTTGCTGTAGGGCAAGGATAATCAGATAGAGCCTTAATAAGCGGCTATAAGAGTACCAACCCTTAAGTCAACTTCTTCACGGAAATAAGGTCTACTTAGTGGGCAAAACGATTTTAGAAATATTGTGATTATTTTCAGCCTCCAAGTCTCCAAAATGCCGACGGACCCAATGGCACAATGTTTAATTACAGGAGAGACTGGAACCTTTGAAAACAATTCTTTTTATGTTACTTTTGATTTGAACAAATATTTCTACTTACAGGCCTAAAACATTCACAAAAATTTCGTTTTTGAAAAGAGTTCTTTTCTGTACGAGGCTCCAAAGATTAATGAACAAAATATTACACAGCCATTGAGAACTCTTCCAAAATCAATTTCAAAGCCTGCTTTGGTATTGTATTTTAAAGGCTTACTAAGTTTTTGGTTATCTAGTATAGAAATCATAAATCGGAATCGATTGTCTTCCACAGCAGTTAGCTTTCGATAGTTATCGCAAATAGAAAGAGATTATTTAAAATTTTAAGTAGAATTGATCTCACTTTATTGAGAAATATGTAGCATAAGAATATACAAAGTCAAATCAAGAAGTTTATGAGTCAAAGTATGGTTTTTATTTTCTTTTTGTCTATGTAAACATAAACCTTATATACTGATCAAAGCTGTTGAAGCGTGAGATTACCGCACGCTGGTAGGTATATAAATTTTGAAAGTCAATGAGCCTAGAATTCTTCCTGGTTTTCTTCTGTAAGCCAAATCTGCATAGCCGCCTCAACCATGCCATGTATATCTCGGTTCTTTCTGCTTGTGATTTTTGTATATACAGAAACTATTATAAAAATCATGCTTTATAATTTACTCACCAGGACAAACATGGAAAGCATGAGAACAACATGTAATCACCAGCAGCCACCCCAGCAGCCACAACAAGAGCCACCCAGGCCGCAAACGGGCCCAGCCATTGACCCATAGCTGGGATCATAGAAACCACTCGGCGCGCATCCACCGCAGGAACCAATACAGGCAGCGGGATAGCAAGGCCAACTGCACATGGTGATTTGGTAAGAGCTGAAAGCGAACGAGATTATAATATCTTTTATATTTAATATTATTGAAATTGAGTTACATTAATCGGGCTACACGAAAAAAGGAAAAATTTCTAAGTTTTCAAAACTTATTTATTTTCTTAGCTGAGTTACGAAAGGTTTTAATGTTGATGGTAAACTGAATAATGTGTGATTTGTAGGGCCTGAATAGGTTATATATTGAGTGAAAATTCAGGGACTGCTGTTACGTAAATAAAACCTTTTTTTTATTTAAAACCAAAACTTGAATGTACAATTTTAATTAAATTTCTTGACTTGGTTTTTTCACATCTCATTTTATGCCTTTTAAGGCCAAATTGTGGATGAAGAAAAAACCTCTGCCAAAAATGTCATTTGAGCCAATAATTAACTTAAGAACCACATGAATTAAGAGTGTTGGGACTTAAGTGAAAATGCCAAGAGTGCGTAGAAGACAAAGCGGAAATTAATATCATACACGCTGTGCTACAGAGTTGAATAAATTAAATGATATTAGTCGCTACTTTGTGTATGCATACTTGTGGTTTTGTTGATGTTACGTATACGCCGCGTGTGACAGCCTGAGCGACAGCGAACGCTGCAAGGCCAAAGTCGAGCGACTTGTCAATGCTGTCAGACCATCAACTCAATCGTTGTCTCTCTCTCTCTCTCTCTCTAAAATTAAGTGCGAAAATGTGCAAATTAGATTTTGTGGCTAACGCAAAGACTTTCCCAACACATACGCACAACCAACAACAACTCACCTTTAATTACATCCAGTCTACGCTGCGTATACGCAACCCGGCATTTAGTGAGCAACAACAACTTTTTGACACCACGCATATGAATTAATTAGCAATTGCCGACGCGCCTGATGTACCTGCTATTTAGAAGCAGCCCTCTGACAACTAATATACGGGGTACATATGAGAATGATATTTATGGAAAGAGCAGCTATCTCTTTAATGGTCGAATATTAAATACTCTTGCGGACAAAAGTAGCTTAATTTTTTTTTTTAATTTATTATTTTTTTTTTTTTGTTACATTTGATTGATTTATTAATTTATTCCGTTCGACTGAATGCCTGTTTAAATAACTTTTTGCAAATATTTAGTTTCAATACGAAGTTCCGTGATTGTATTGAGCTTTGGCACATGTAGTTATTTTTAGGGTTCCTTGGTAGGGGGCACTAGAGTTGAGCAAAATCCAGGATGGAATATCGAGTGTAAAGGGTCCACAATGCCAGCCTCAATGTTAACAGGCTGCGTTTAACCACAGATAATCGCCGCCCCTTCGTGAAGAAATTTCTATGATATAAGAGTAGTGTGCTAATCAGATTTGGCCTACTCGTACATGTATTAAGAACACTGAAGTCTATATAATATAATTCAGGTTATATAAAATACGTTCAAAAAATGTGTTTTAAGTAATACTTCGCAATAACGTCTATTTAATAACTCGAACTTGTTAGCTTTCTTGTTTAAAATACCCGAATTGAAAGGTATAAGCATATATTAATTTATGCGTCTGATTTGTGTGTGTGTGTGTGTGTGTGTGTGTGTGTGTGTGTGTGAGTGTGTGGTGAAGTTTGTGGGTTAGGAGCTGTTAATGCCTATATTGAAGGAGTTGGGAGGTATATTCCGCTTGACTGGTGCGCAGAAATCGTACTTTGTTGGACCATAGTTTCAAAGTGGTTGACAAAAAGTTGGGTTTAACAATAGTTAAACCAAGCAATCGTAACTTGTACTCGCCATGTCCTTGTTAGCTCTTGCATACAATTATAAAGCCATTAATGTCAAACGGAATGACACAGGACACATTGTGTCCACCCACACATTTACTCACCCGCATCCGCACACAAACACGCATACACACATTTGCCGGCAGGACAATTGTAGAGCATTGTAATTGATTACACTTGGGATCAGCTTCATTTTGACATGGCCCAAACACAAGCCCCAAAACCCTGCATTTAAAAACTATTCTCCGGCTTATTGTCTAGGTAAAGAGTAGGGGCAAATAATTTGTATGTGTGTGTGCGCAACTGTGAGTAAACTGTCAATTTAAAATGTCACAACCAATAATAAACGAGGCTTGCCCACACACACACACGTTCACATACATTTATTGGACGCGTTATACAGAAATCAATGTTAATTGTTAAGTGAAATCAATTGGATGAATTGCCATGCAATTTTTTAAGTGTTTCATGAGTTGTTTTTTTTATTGTTCCGACACTTGAAACACTATTCGTTCCCTGCTGCCAACTCAAAATTGATTTATTAAGAGTCTGACGAAGTGGGGAACAATGGAAGCGAGCGTTAATTCAATATTTTCATTAAATATTTGCATTCCTCTCTGTGGAGTATAAAAATAATTATTTTTAAATTGTGTGCAGGCTTTTTTTAAGCAAAAGCTCTTAGCACATAAGGAAACATATCTTACAACTGAAGGCTCTCAATTTGTATTTTCCATTCGCTGAATTATAACTTAATAGAGAATAATTAAACTTTACACATGTACAATTGAGTATTAGAATATTAAACATTCTTCAGCGTGATAGATAAAAGAGTTTCATTTAAAGACAATTCGTGAAAAGTTGACTTTATTTTAAGACTTTTCTTGAGGTTGCAAATGTATTGATAGAAAATATGTCTTCTGGGTGATATATTTGCGACTAAAAGAATTTTTTAAATTTATTTAAATTGCATGCGTTAAATGTGAGGATTTTTAATGAACTGTTGTAGATTTGATCATATACAAGTTACATAATAGTAACTACATATCATTCCCTTATTTATTCGCTTGGTAGAGATTAGAAGGCACTAATCGATTCCAGCGAAAAAAATAAAATAAAAAAGATAGGGTGTCTTTCAGCTGGGCTGCATGCTCTATTCTTTTTGTTTTCATAAAAATTCCGCTTATCGTTTTGGCGCTAGCTGCATCAACAAGGAATACGCATTAATTTTCAGTTGAGTTCCACTTATTTATGCGACACATTTCAGTTATAATTTCAGCGGTTGCATAAATAATGCAACGATTGGCTGAATTCGAATAGTGTCTGACTATGAAATGCATTTTATGCCACTGGGAATTGCGTTTATGGCCAGAATTTCACTTGGTAATCGGCGACGACGCGCAAGTAATGGCAAACAATTTGTCAACAATACGTATTATCAGATTTTTTATTGAAATTCTTTCTTGTTTTGTTTTTGTTTTTTTATCTTCACTTTTAGTTGTGCGCTGAGCGAAGATTGATTTGAGGAGCAACAACCACAGTGGAAACAAAGAATTTCTAGCACAGTGTGCAGTTGAAGATGAAAATGATTGATTTCCCATAATGCCAGAGGCAGGGAAATGGAAGGCGTGGTGGGTTTTGAAGCCGGCATTCACTCAGAGTTTGAGATTGAGTTCTTGTTTTAAGCTGAAGCGTTTGTTTTTGCTAGCCGGTCTAATCATCAATCAATCAATCATATGCCGTGCAATTGCTGCATAAAACAAAAGGCAAAACGTTTAAAGTTTTGCGCCCGGAAAAGTATGCAATGCTTTTTGTCTGAGTTGCAGAGTGCGTGTGCGCTCGTGTGTGTGTGTTGCCTGTTTGCCTGCCAAGTTAACGGATCAGACTCCGCCGCAGTCCCTGACTTTATCTCAGCTGGCGAATTTAATTTCAGCTGTCAATCAGCATTCATTACGAGCCAGTTGGCTGGCTTTAAAACCGCATTTGAAGGCTTGCCAACGTAAATTCCGCATACGCAGCTTATAAAGAAGGGCAGGTAAAAACAGGGCCAGCTGCACACGGCACACACACACACACACACACACACACACACTTACAAACAGCCGCCAAATTGATTGTAATTGACACTTATTGGACAGCAGACGCTGACAGAGTTTCGCTGTGTGGATTGCGGACCTTTGCCCTTTTTGTTTTGGGACTTTCCTGAGGCAGTGCAGAAATATGTCGCTGCAAATAAATCAATAAGCGCCAGACACTATGTAACTTCCGTTACAAGTGTGCGGACAGCCAACATTTAACGGATACTTTATGAAGCAAATAAACAAGTGCCTATTATATATTTATATATTATTAGGCAACACATATTTGTTGAAAATCGACTTGCTTACTTCCTATGTCATAAATAAAATTACAATTTGTTTAATTTTTAAAAGTATTACACAATGCGAAATCAATTGACCGCGCCTCATGAAATTGATATTTATTTGGTTGGCTTCTGACCTCCGGTATAAAAATTGATTCTTAACAGTTATTCGCTTGGCATGGAGTCCGAATAGAAATGCAACAATTAAGTTCATCATAAACGATTTTTGCTTTTTATTTGTTTAATTTTTTTCACCAACATTTTTACATAATTTGACATATTTTCACCAATTTTCGAATTTAACAATTCTGATAGATTTAAAAATGACCTAGCACAGAAATTCATAGAGTAGTATCAGAATTTCAAGGCATATGTAATAATATGCCCATCCTTGCTATCATGCACAGGCACCGAGCTTAAGTTTTATATTGATTGATGCCCAGCAAATATGTTTTATTTTTTAAGTTGTAACTTTTAATACCTAAGGGTGTTAAATGGAAAAATAAGAATATTTGTTTTAAAAGTGTTTTTTATTTCAAATTGGGAAAAGCAACAAAAAGTAAAAAAAAGTTGTTCAGCAGAAAAGATCAAAATCAGATTTTTCTAAAGGTAGAAACAATTAAGACGACAAACTACAAACAAAGTGAGATTTCTGATTTTAAAAAATTTAGTTTTGGCAAAATTATCAGAGATGGAAATTTAGTAAGAGCATTTATTAAGCTGAATTATTCTGTGCATAAAAGTTAGAGAAATGAATGAAACCAAGGACTATTCATTGTCAAAGCATAGTTGAAATAAGACTTTGTTTAAATAAAATGAAATATTTTTGAGTTAAAGCAATCTACGTGAAAATCTCTGCAATGGAGCTCTGACATTTTCTTTTTAATTTTGTTTTGTTTTGTTTTGCTATTGCAAACAATAACAATGACAATATACAAATGAAAGGAAAGGTCTAATGGAAATAAAAAAAGTACAAACCGATTCGACAATTTGGATTTTAGCTTGTGGGCCAAAAACGTGTCTGGCATTTTTTTGTGTGTTCGGCTCTTGTTAATGAAACC